ATAGGTCCTTGTGTCTATTTCACTTTATCAACAAATCGAGAATGTTTGTTGCGTAAGTAGTCTGAATGGGTCCTTCTCAAACTGACTTTCAAGGTCCTCTCGCGTCGCAGATATAACAGGCTCTCATACATATTTTCCAGGGCTCTGGCCATCTTCTGCTTCGTTCACAGTAACACAAACAGTGCGTTACCAAGACAAAAGTTTACTTCAAAATTTTTCTTTCCCATCCTTAAATTATTTTTAAAAACATGCGTTAATTATTTTTTATTCACCTCTACATCATCCCGATATGCCTATGTTGTGGGGCTTGTATATAGAATAATAACTCGGCTAAAACCTGCTTTATCGTCTGCCTGACTATTCTTAGATTTTTCTGTTTTACTGGAAAAAGCCCTGGCATCAATTTTGCCGACTCTATTTTCACATCTACGTTAGTTTCCTTTCTGTTTATTTGCTAGATTTGGCTAGTTATTTTTCATTATACCTTAACCTTCAGGCCATTATTGCATAGGCCTCTTCTGGTCTAGCTTGGCTAAATCCTTGAAATTTCGTTGGGTTTTTGAAGATTAGTTTTCTGTATGCTGCGATACGTCTTGGCTTACACTTAACTTTTACCGTTTTTTAATAGCCCCTTGGCCACCTTATACTATGAAAAGGTGCATGATCCAGGGCTCCCATGCTTTATCATAGGCCTACTGTGCGTGGCCCTAAAAGGGTTTGCGTTATTGTGACACGTTAACTCCTACTCACGCCTAACCACCCTCTTGACGGGCCTCCGGGTCAAGGTCTTTAAGACCTTTGATGCAGAAATTTTTTGGGATAAAGTGACAATAAACCATAGTTATTTTCGCTGACTATAATGATTATAGCTAGACCTACCCACCACTCAATCTTTAGGGTTTCATCTATTCTTTGGCAGAGACTTCCGACCCTGGCATCACTTACTCCGCTGCCAATTGTGACCGACAACAGCCAGCCCACCTGCTCCGTGGCTCTTCCGCAGTTCCGTCTCCCTTCGCCACAGACCCGCCCGCTTTGGCTTTCGGGCACAACTCAACCCGTGTCACCATCCTCGACTAAATGGGCAAAGAACCGTTTGTTCGCTTCTCCAATAGCGAGTCCGGGTCATGGAAACGGCCTTGGCGATACCCTTAATTTTGTGACCCAGCGCTCCTTGTCCAGCATGAGCGCTGGACAACGGCTGTCCAGAAGTTTTCCCCTTATAGGTCACCGAACCAGCTTCCTTTTGAGGTCAGATGACTTGCAACCTTTAGTAAAACTCTAGCATGATTATAATATCCCATTTTTTATTCATCAAAATTGTATTGGAGCCTTTTGCATAATTTAGTTAACAGTATTTACGATAAAACATTAATTTTAACCATGGAGTTATCTAGGCATAAATGTGGTCTGATCTCGTTTTCACAACTTGATTGTGTTTTCAGGACAAGTTAGTTGGACACACCTTGTCCGAAGTCCTCTGTTATAGTAGTTATCATATTTACAAGCGTCGGACTGTACACTTGGTACATTGACAGACGTTTCGCGGGTATCGTTGTCGGCATCGTCAACAGGCTTTGCTAGTAGATCCGTTTCTTATCTTTTTGGACAACCCATTTCACTCGGCCCCAACCCCAGCGTACTTTTAACTTCAGGCTCTATTTCTCAAGCCTACCAGGTACAACGTCGCCTCACCTGAAGAGCGCCTATGCTCTGATTCTCATGCTTGTGGATATTAGACATTGCTTTCACGCGTCAGCTCCTTGATTAAAACCGTATGCTCTGAGCAAACTGTGCGCTCCTATCTCCGTCACGTTCCCTGAGGAGACAACAGGGGAAATGGAGATGGAAATAACCCCTAGAATCTTGACACATTATGAACCACCGCACACGAACAGATTTGCGAGGATACAAATAACTCTAGAAAGGAATGAACAATTGATCCTTCAGGCGGACTAAAGAGGAGCGACAATTGTAGTGGACAGGAGACAATATACCGAGAAAATGGAATGTATATTGCAAGACAAGACTCAAGAAGGTAAATGACAGATTATCAAACACAGTGAAGCACTCATATGAATTTTCTCAGAAGATCAAAAACCTGACGCTGAAAGAAGCAGAATTACTGGTAAGTTTTGAGGTATGATCTATGTACGCAAACATTTCTGGAGAAAAGGCGCCAACGACCCTGATATAACTTTGGGATCGAGAAGAGGATATCATAGAAGCAGAGATTATCAGAATGATTCATTAACACTAATAATCAACTTGACAATAAGTACTACCTACTTCACATTCAATGGCAACATATATGAACAGACATTTGGACTTCCTATGAAATCACCTTTATCACCTCTATTTGCAAATGTATGCATGAACAAATTAGAAGAGAATTTCAGGACGTCACTGCTACAACCAAGAGTTCTTATGTGGGTGACTAATTTGCAATATGGTCGTACGGAGAAAAAAATGGGAGAATTTCCTCAATTTCACGAACCGAATTGATGAAAGAATCAAGTTTACAATGTATGTAGAGGAAAAGGAGCGTTTGGCCTTCCTAGATGTGGAGGCTATTCGCTT